GGGGGTTTGCTCGCTGGCTCAGTTTTGGAAACAGATCACCAGGCCTCTGCTCACAGCCTGTCTTAGTTGGAAGCTCCGTTCAAAGCCGGCTCATGGGGTGAGCGACCTGCTGGTATTTCAAATTCCAAGAGCTGGCTTCCAGCCTCCCAGCCGCACGTGAGCCACCAGTGTCGGACAGACAGACAGGGGTGGTTCTCCTCGTTTCCCTTCCCTCAGAACATGCGTGCTGTTTAAAGGAAAGCCAACCGCGAGCCTTCTGGGATTCTTATGCGTGCAGAGAAAATGCCTAAGACCACTGTGGCATGAGGTTCGGTACCAAGTGGCCGACAGACACACGTGGAAATTGGATCTACTGAAAGCAATCACAGGCATCAGAATCTTAAAATTGGGAGGGCTATTTTTAAAATATTTTTTCCTGATTTTCTGTCACTTCACGAGGCAGATAACTGTCTGAAGCAGCAGGAACCAGCTGTCAGGGGCCAGCCTCCGTCATTCATTCCCTAACCCACGGGCAGAGCTTCACAGTTCAGCGTTTGAGATTCTGCTGTTTCGACATCTGCTTCCTGTTACTGTTTTCATGTAGCCCTCTTTAGAAAAAGAAAAAGCAAATGATGGGATTGTTCCGGGAGCTAGTCTCCTTCTCTGTTCGCAAATCTGAAATGCCTCAGCCAGAAGCAGCTTGTTCTATAGCTGTTGGTTACATCACGGGAGCGGTGGCTTTGATGAGCTTGGAAGTGAGGTTAGACATAAGAGAGAACTGTACGTCACCTTCTGAGTCCCCAGGAAGGAATCCCTGCATGGTTTACACTGTTAGACACTTGATTACTAGCAGAATGGCTGGTGGGTCAAACCCACTCAGTGGGGCTGTGGCACAGAGGCCAGGCAACCTGCGTCTGAGGACACAGCCTTGGAGCCTCATGGAGCAGTTCTCCTGTGCACACGGGGGCCACCAGGAGTCGCGTCAGCACACCAGCAAGTGACACCAGCAAAGTCCCGGGGTCCCTGGGTGGCTCAAATGTTAAGCGCTCGACTGTTAATCTAAAGGTTTGCTGTTCAAACCCCCAGTGGCCGTGAAGTTGCCGTGAGTCGGAACTGACTGAACAACAATGGGTTGGGTTTGGTGTATTCCCCAGAATAAAGGTGACCCCATGGAGGTCAAATCTCTCCTCCAGGAAGCCTGCCTTCTCTAGCGTGCTGATGAACAGGCCTCTTTGCTGTAAAACTTCACGTGTTTTATTGTGCCACTGTCACCAGAAGTGTCACTAGAAGTGCCACGTGTCCCCGTGTGTCACTCAGACCTTCACAGCCTGTCTCCTCTGTGTTGGTGGTGGCGTTGGGTGCCAGCCCTTCGATTCCGACTCATAGTGACCTTGTAAGACAGAGTGCCCCACGGGGTTTCCTGGGCTAAAATCTTCACAAGCAGATTAAACTCTCTCCCGAAAAGTGGCTGGTGGTGTGCACCGCTGACCTTTAGGCTGGTAGTCAATGGTAAGCCCTTCGCACCACCCAGAGGCCTTATCATGGACCTGTGACCAGGTGATAATCGGCCAGATCCTGACACTTGACAGCGATGTATCAGCATAAAGTCCCCCTGAACAGCGTATCAGCTCCTGGCACCCTTGGGGCACCGATAATGGACGAGGTGGGCAGTTAGGACAGTGAGGGGGTTGTTGTTGCTGTTGTGTGGCCCTGAGTCAGTGCCAGCCCAAGGGATGGCAGAACTGCCCCATGGGGTTGTCTAGGCTGTTGTCTGCATGATGACCACTCGTCAGTCAGTGTGCTGTCCTGTGGGGACTGTGTAGTACCATGAGACTGGAGGCCAGACCACAGTATTCCAGTTCCAGTGGGGTCACCCGTGGTGGGCAGGTTTCAGCCAAGCATCCAGATGTGGGGCCTGCTGAAGAAATGGCTGCTGGAAGCCTCGAGTAGCAGGAGAACATTGTCCAACAGAGCACAGAAAGGTGGGCCTTGGGTCAGAAGGCACTCAGACCCCCCAGGGGAGGACAGCCTCCTCAGAGGAGAGGCCACCTTGATGGTGCGGGTGCAGTAAAGCTTTCGCGACCGCCATTTGCTGATGGGGCCCGACTCCAAATGAGAAGAAACAGCTGCAAACATCCATGAATAGCATCAGTGAAAAAGAGAAAGACCCTCGGCACATGGATTAAGACAGTGGCTGCAACGGTGGGCTGAAACAGCGGCGGCTGTGCGGCTGGTACAGGAGCGGGAGGGCTCCTCCCTGTTGTACACGAGGTGACATGACGCAGCTGTGAGGCAGTGCAGACCGGGCGGGCTCCACCCTGTTGTACACAAGTGACTGTGAGGCAGTGCGGGACCGGGCGGGCTCCGCCCTGTTGTACACGAGTGACTGTGAGGCAGTGCGGGACCGGGCGGGCTCCGCCCTGTTGTACACGAGGTGGCATGACGCAGCTGTGAGGCAGTGCAGGACCGGGCGGGCTCCGCCCTGTTGTACACGAGGTGGCATGACGCAGTTGGCAGGCGCCATGTTGACGGCACCCAACAACAGCAGTTGTTACGGGAACACATCACCAGGTCTTTTCTCCCCCAGAGCCACTGGGTGGGTTTGAACCGCCGACCTTTCAATTAGCAGCCAAGTGCTTAACTGTTGTGCTACCAGGTTTCCTCCTGGGGGCATGCAGGCCTTTACCGTATCATGTGGACGGAACTGAGTGGTGGGACGGGAGCTCTGGAGGCTCACTGTGAACCAAGTGATGCCG